AAGATTTAGTTATTTATGCATATAAGTGCTGTGGTCTAACAGGCCAGACAAAGGTGTGGGGTGGGGTGTATCTGAGAGGATTCACCAGAGACAGAGTGGGGAGCAGAAGAGGTGGATTGACCTCTTCTGAGTGGAGCAGCAGGCCATACAGGTAGCCTCCCTGGCTGGGGCATCAATGGCTGCAGATAGCTTTAACCCCTGTGCCACCAGGGAAGACCCTTTTACCTGTTTTTTAGTTTTTATTTTCTTCTATTGAGTTTTAATTCTTTTATATATTTTTTCATATTAACTTTACCAGATATCTAATATGTAAATATTTCTTGTGTTTGCCTTTCCATTTTGCTGATTGTTTCCATTGTTATGCAGAATCATTTTAATTTGACATAGTTCTGCTGTTGAGGTTTGCTTTTGTTGCCCTTGCTTTTGGTGTCAGATCCAAAAAGTCATTACCAAGACTGATGTTCAGGAACTTACCTTAGCTTTATTCCCCCCCTAGTTGGTTTTATGGCTTCAGATCGCAAAGTTCTAGCTCTAGTCCATTTTGGGTTGATTTTTGTATCTGGTGTAAGACAGAGGTCCAGTTTACTCCCTTTGCATGTGGCTGTTCCATTTTTCCCAGCGCCATTTATTAGAGTATCTTTCCATCAATGTATGTTCTTGTTCCTTTGTTATAAATTAATTGCACATATATGCTCATGCAGGGATTTATTTTTGGACTCTGTTTTGTTCCCTTGATGTATCTATTTTTAATGCCAGTAACATACAGTTTTGTTTAACTACCTTTGTATTGATGTCTTAAAGCAAGAAATGTGATGCCTTCAGCTTGTTCTTTTTCAGAATTGTTTTGCACATAGTCCTTAAGGCTTTTTTTTTCTATTTCTGTGGAGAATGGCATTGGAACTTTCAGAGGTTTGTATGGAATCTGGAACATATATATATATATTTTAATTTTTATTTATTTGTGCATACAGAACTGGGGTACAGGCCAGAGGCTCAGGGGCGGCGAGAGGCTTCACCAGAGACAGAGTGGGGAGCAGAACAGGCAGATAGACGAAGTACACTGCTGAGGGGAGCAGCGGGCGGGTCAGGAGAGGTCTGCCACACCATGTGGTCACTTCCGGGACAGGCGGGAATCAAACTCATGCAGAAGTGGCCTTAGATTCTCAGTGCTGTGCTTTAACCTGCTGTGCTACCAGGGAGGGCCTCTGGAACATATTTTAATGTGAGGATTTTTCTTGTTTGTTTTAGACAGTTCTTCCAAATCCTGTGTACCATTTAGAAATTGTTTGGATTTATATGAAGAAATCCTGACTGAAGAAGGAACTGCAAAGGAGGCCACATATAATGATGTATGGGTTATTAGAATTATTAAGGACAGTTATTTTACTTTTTTTGTAATTCCTGTAGTTTTATTGAACATGCAGGCTGTATTTAGGAAATAGAGATTAGATTGAAAGAATATTTAAGTCAGTTTCTGCCTTCAGATCTGCTTTTTAAAATCATGTTTTCTGAAAGCCTTTCTAAATTTAGTTGTAATTTTGCTTGATTAGATTTAAATGTCTGAATGTAAAACTTCAACAGGCAATCAGTATGATAAAAGTTTATCTTTTCATGATTTGTAATAAGCTGTAAAATATCCCAGGACTTAAATGGGACAATTTTCTTTATACCTTATCTGCATTTTAAGGTGTGGAGATTGAATGTGAAGTGAAACAACATAGAATATCGATAGGCCTAACATTAAAATAGAGCTCACTCTTTTTTAAGTGTGTTGATTTGCAAAATGTTAGGTATTTTGGAATGACATTTAATTTAAAATAGCTAGATTAATCTTTATATATTATAGTTGCAGGTAGAATATGGGAAATGTCAGCTGCAAATGAAAGAGTTGATGAAAAAGTTTAAGGAAATACAGACACAGGTAAGATTATAACTAGTGTTTTATTTTTGCTTTATTAAATTATTTTAAATCAACATTTAATGAAAAATTTTTTAGAAGTTGAAATGCTAAAGTGTTGAGTTTATAAAATGGCTTTTTTTAGTGTTATATGAATTAACAAGTCTGGCACAACATACATTTCCTATGTTAATGAAATCGATATAGAAAAACTTAAAATGTCGAATAACATTTATATTAAAGATATGTTAGGCTAGTTAATAGCCAAATAATAGAAAATCAACAGAGATGATAATAGTTGGTTTAAAAGAGAATAGTTTGAAAAACAAAGATTTAGAATGGCTTTGGGAGAAAATGATGATGTCTTCATAGTTGTTGCCAGAATATTGAAAATTAGTACATTTTTGCATGCTAAACTTATGTTGTTAAATATAATAAAAATTTTATCACTTTTAATTTTCAAGAAAATGACCCGTGGTTTTATCCCTGCCATGTGATACATTTTTAAAATAGTTTTCAGTTTAAGTGACCCTTCTCTGGTGCCTGTTATTTTTCTGAATCTCTAGCTTCCCTATCTATATAATGATCATAGAACTTTTTGGAGAATTATATAAAATATGTGATGCCTGGCATGCAATTAGCATTAGTAGTCATTAACTATTATAAGTAGTCATTTGATAAAGCTGTAGAGAAACACCTTATTATGTTATTATGTTTTTAACTTTATGTTATTCAGAATTTCAGCTTAAAAAATGAAAACCAGTCTCTTAAGAAGAATATTTCAGCACTTATCAAAACTGCCAGAGTGGAAATAAACCGCAAGGATGAAGAAATAAATAATCTTCACCAAAGGTATAATTGTAGGGTATGGATCTATTTGTAGATTACATGGGTGTTGACATGTGGAGTTTTTTTTTTTAAGATTTATTTATTTGTGCATACAGAACTGCATATAGGCCAGCAGTGGAGGGGTAGTGAGAGGATTCGCCAGAGACAGTGGGGAGTAGAACAGGCAGATGTACTTCATGTGGTTCACCTCCTTGACCAGGTAGCAAACTCGTGAAGCACTGCAGTGAGCTTCATAGTGCTGTGCTTTAACATATTGACATATTGCACCACCAGGGAGGACCCGACATGTGGAGTGTTTTTTATTTTTCATGTGGAGTGTTAACTTTGAGTGGAAGACATGAAAATCATGTGTTTATTTAGATATTTAAAATTGTGAGTAGTGACTAATATTCCACTGGTGTTTATTATAGCAATAGATGTGTGGCTATTAATCAAATATTAACACATACCTATCTGAATTTTTTCAGTTTCCTAATACACTGGGATTTTGCTGTGGTACTGTTTATTTTTAAAAAGTTAATGGTGTCATGGATTCTTCTACACCTGTCCAATAACTGAGATATCAAGAAGGCATATATATGACTATCCCCTACTAATAGGCAACACATAAAAATTCATAATTGTGGTCCTCCCTGGTGGGGAGTGGGTTAAAGCACAGCACTAAGAAGCTAAAGCCACTTCGGCGTGAGTTTGATCACCACCCCAGAGGTGATCCACATGGTGCAGCAGACCTCTCCTGTCTCGCCCGTTGCTATCTTCAGCAATGCACTTTGTCAGTCTGCCTGTTCTGTTCCCCACTCTATCTCTGGTGAATCCTCTCACTGCCCACACTTTGGCCTGTACCCCAGTTCTGTATGCATAAATAAATAAATAAATATTTAAAAAAAAATCGCAATTGTATATTCTCTTCCAGATTTTCTTTATTTAATTTTGTACTTAATTTGTTCTCATTTTCTGGTTGGAGGAAATATTCTGCTCCACTGAATTTTATATCTCCTCTCCTTCATAGTCAAACTGAAACTTACCTTAGATTATTTATTTATTTATTAAGACTTACTTATGCATACAAGAGCTGGGGTGCAGGCCAGAGAAGTGAATGTGAGAACATTCACCAGAAGAAGAGTGGGGAACAGAACAGGCAGATAGACTAAAATACACACTGCTGAGGGGAACAGCGGGATAGACAGGAAGAGGCCTGTTGTGCTATATGGGTCACCTCCCTAGCCAGGGCTCAAACTTGTACAGCAGTGGCTGCAGAGAGGTTCATAGTGCTGCATCGTTACCCCTTGTGCCACCTGGGAGGGCCCTTAAGTAAGTTATTTAAACTTAGATAATTTATCTAAACTTGATATCTTCATTTCCTGTATCGATTCACTTTTGAACCTATTCCATTCTGACTTCTCGTCTCCTTGTTCCACCAAAACTGCTGTCATTTTTGTTAATAATGTCTGCTTCTAAAGCTGTCATGCAGTTTTGACTTTCCATTTTAACTTGTCCTTACTTGCACTTTGATATGGTTGGCCATCTTTTCTTGGAATAGATCCTTCCTTTGTTAGTATTCTTCCTAACTTGAGAGTTAGTCTTCTCAAAACTATTCTTTTCCTTACCCTATTAGTATTTTCTCTTAAGGTAATAGGACAATTCTACTTATATGGGCATAATGGTTTCATCTCTGCAAAATTTTAAAGTCATCCTACCCAGAGTTCAATTTATGACCAGACTTTATCTACTGTTTCCTATTTCTGTGGATTCCCAATACTTACTAATTTAGGACAGGATGGAGACTTCTAGGGATGGAATGACCATCAAATCATGACCCTTTAGAGAGAAAAATAGTTGCTATTTATAATTGTACTAGATTGCTTGGAAAACTGGGATACATAGTCTGCTTTGCCTAAATGACTGGTTATTGATCATCCATCAAATTTAGTTCATCACATATCTTGTTGATTTTTATGTTTTTATAATCTCTCAAATTATTAATTTCTCTCCTTTTCTATCAGCTCTCATCTTTATGCAGATATATTATTTTATATTATTTTATTTTTTTAAAGATTTATTTTTGCATACAGAACTGGGGTACAGGCCAGAGGCTCAGGGGCGGCGAGAGGCTTCACCAGAGACAGAGTGGGGAGTAGAACAGGCAGATCTGCGAAGTACACTGCTGAGGGGAGCAGCGGGCGAGTCAGGAGAAGTCTGCCGCTTTATGTGGTCACCTCCGGGGCAGGCGGGAATCGAACTCATGCGGAAGTGGCTTTAGCTTCTTAGTGCTGTGCTTTAACCCGCTGCGCCACCAGGGAGGGCCGCAGATACATTATTTTTGCATCCACTCTTGCTCTTTCCAACTTCTGAATTATTTCTTCTTGGAATTATTAAAGCCACAGGGTACTTTCTAATGAAAAGTTTGGATATTTGCTATCACTGAACCACCTTCCTTTAAAATATTTCAATAATTAAAAAAATTTAAAAACTTTTTAAAATTTTGCAGAAACGAAACTGTTCATTGTTCTTAGAATAAGTGGTCATAAACTTGGCTCACAAGAGTAGACTCTTCACAGTGTGGTTCCAAACTATTTAATGGATTTTGCCTTCAGTGTTTCTTGTCCAAGCTGTCATACTCTGGTATATCTCTTGCATCCTTTCAGTTGCTTGGATATATTTTGACCTCTGTCTTTGCGTGGGTCGTTTCAATTGTCTGTGACCTTGCCATTTTATCACACCTAGCATGGAGCCTGGCACGTGGTAGATACATAAGAAATGATTGAAGAATATGTTGGCAATCCTATGTGTATACCATATGGCATTATAAAACATATTATCCCTTTTGAGAAGATGACTGTGTATGTTTACTAAGTTAAATCCCATCAGTACAACTCATCATATAAGATTGTTTTCTGAAGTTCTGGGGAATTTTAAATACTTTTGAATTTTCTAGGGGAGGCGTATGGTGTTCGAGCAGGGTGACAAAAGAGAAATTAAATCATTAGATTGACTTTAGTTGTATATAATCTAGTATTTTGTCAATTATTTGCACTTGCTATTGTGAACTACAGCTATGCAAATAGTAAATGTTTTATCATTTCTTAAAACCCTTTTTAATAGAAACTTCTTTTTTATTTTGCACAGTGTGTACTACTTCTAACATGGCTGTCACTGCTTTGTCTGTATGTGAAACAGAAACTAGGATAGGAAGCTGCATAGATTTCTATTTTGATTGCTTCTGTTCATCAGGGTTTCACTTTTGTTGTTCTTCAGTTGGGCTAGAGTGAGTAAGGGTAAGAAAATAACTTCCACTTGTCCTAAGAGAAGTAAATTGGTGATTAGTTTTGAGTTATGTGTGCTGGTGTGGAGGAAATCTGAAAGACATTTGCAAATGCTAGAATAAGAGTATCATTGTCTTTTAGACATTGAGCAAAGCAAGTAAAAGAATTCTTTGTTTTAAAAATTGACCCAGTGGGTTAGAAGCTGGTCAGTTCTTACCACTCACTCTTTTATACAAAGCAAAATTAACTTAGCCATACATGAGCCCCCCAAATTTAAAGAATACCAAATATGTATTAAGTTTGGATTATTAAGAAACCATTAACTTTTTTGGTCTTTCTCAATAGGTTGTCGGAGTTTCCACACTTTCGGAATAATCATAAGATTGCAAGGACATCAGACATAGTTAAAACAAAAGATTTTAAATCCAGATCTTCTTCCCATTTGGATGACTGTTCAAAAACTGACCACAGAGTGAAAAGTGATGTTTCTAGAGATATACATCATAGCACTTCACCGCCAAAGCTCGAAAAGGAAGGAAAATCACATTCTGAAAAAAAGAACAATTTGCATTTGGCTACATCTAGTGAAAAACACTGTACAAATGGTGTTTGGTCCCGTTCCCATTATCAGATTGGTGAAGGTAGTTCAAATGAGGATAGTAGAAGAGGGAGAACAGATATTAGACATAGCCAATGTAGCAAAGGAACTGATAGATTACGAAAAGAGTTCAGTACTACCTGTGGTGATGGTGAGCCAAGGGACACAGAGGCTAGTCAGAGGATACAAGGACGTCCTGAGAAATATGGTAAAGGTGAACCAAAGACTGAAAACAAAAATTCAAAGTTCAAAAGTAACTCAGATTTAGATTATAAAAGTGAACACATCAACACTTCTTGGGAAAAAGAGGCCTCTAGAGAAAGGTCATATGCTCGAATAGACTCCCAAAATGACAAAAAAATTGAAAGACAAAGTGAAAGATCACAAAATATAAATAGAAAAGAACAAAAATCACAAGACAGAGAAGAAAGAAAAATTGATCAAAAACCTAAATCAGTAAAAGATCAGGACCATTGGAGAAGATCTGAGCGAGCATTGTTTCCTCATTCCAAGAGTGAATTAAAATCTCAAAATTCCAATAAATACCATTTAGAAGAGAGAAGAGGAAGAGAAGATAGCAAAAGAGACAGGTGTGTAAGTAATCATAGTTTTCCAGAAGGAAGATATCCTTCTCTTTCAACCAATAGAACTCACAAACACATTGACTCTAAGGAAACTGATGCTGTGCACCAAAGGGAAAATGTAACTTTAAAAGTAGAAAGGCATAGAACTGAAGATAAGAGGAAAAGGGAACGAGACAGCAAAGAAGAAAATAGACATATAAGATATGAAAAAAAAACACCCACAGAACATTTGCAGAAGACTAACAAAGAAGCTAAGAAAACAACTACTGATTTAAAGAGACAGAATGAGTCAAAAGATGAAAAAAGTGAAGTTTCTAGTAATACTGCTTCTGAAGGAACAGTTAATAAAGACCCTGCAAATAAAGGTGAGAGTGGTCCAAATGAAACAAAAAACAAAGATTTAAAACTGAGTTTTATGGAAAAACTGAACTTAACTCTTTCTCCTGCAAAAAAGCAACCTGTTTCTCAGGAGAATCAGCAAAAAGTAACCAGTACTCCCAAGTCCAGTGGCATATCTGATTTGGACCCAGTGCAAACTAAAACAGTGACAAATGTTCCCTCAGTCAGTGAACATATCACAAGGGACACCAAGTCAAAGTTACTGGAATTAGACGAGGGTCTTGCAGTAGCATCTGAACCCAGGATTAGTATACTAGAAAGGAAAACAGAAGACAATGGCTTGATAATTAAATCTGATGAGAATACTATAAATTGTGATGTGCCTATTTGTGGTACAGAGACTTCCTTCTCAGCACCTGTTGAAGTGGAACAAAACAAGTCTTTATTTCCATCATCAATAGAAATCGAACAAACTATTAATGGTACAAGCACAATTCCTGTGGTAATGGACATAGTACAAACAAATCTTTCTCAAAGTTTTGTGTTGGACTTGGATACCACCAGAAATGAGGCTTTAAATTCTTGTAGTGTTTCTGAAGGTATAGAATTGAAGGACACTTTTTCAAAAACAGTGGCCAAATCCAATGAAAGTGGTTTGCAGTCTTCCATTGAAGAATCTGGCATTTTGCCAGAAGATGGTAACCCAAAATTTGAGCCTGCTCTTACAGATGGACAGCTGGTTGAGAATAAATCTTGTCATTTGGAGCCTTGCTTAGCTAAGGAGACTCTAGAATCAATTCATCAGACTGTGTTAATGGACCATCAAATGGAAATTGGCGAAACAAACTCAGTATATCATGATGATGATAACTCAGTTCTGAGCATTGACTTTAATCACTTGAGACCTATCCCAGAAGCCATTAGTCCTCTGAATAGTCCAGTGAGACCAGCTGCAAAACTTGCCAGATTGGAAAGCCCATCTCAAGTTCCATTATATAATAACAGTTCTAAAGGTAATAGTCTATATTATTCCCTAAAATTTGTATGTGAGAATGTAAAAATGTAAGCAAGATGAGTTAGTATGTTTTCTTTTTGATAAGATAATTGACATTATTTAGATCCCTATAACTAGTTTGAAATGTATATTGATCCATCTAAATGTAAGTAATTCTTCATTATACAAGAAGTGTGTGGGGGAGGAGAGGGAGGTAGTGGTGGGACAGATTTTTTCAAATACTCTGCTTTAGATTTATTTTTGGCTTTTAAAAGTCTTCATCAAATGGCAAAGAATAAGTGTTGCTGCTATCAAGTAAAGGTATCTGCAGTAACTTGGTGGCTGTCTACATGAGCAAACTCTACACTGTCGCCTGAATATATTCTAAGACCAGTAGAAACAAATGGCATGAGTACGTATTAGGCATTAATGTTCTGCCAAGAAAAAAGAAAGAAAAACTCTTAAAAATAATGAAGTGCCTTAATACTTCCTTTTTTTGGCATTTTAGTATGTAAATGTCAAGCTATTAAAATTCAGAGGTTGTGTGACTGTAATATACTTTTTCTTCCACAGATGTGTTTCCACAAAATTCAACTCATTCTACCTCTAAGAGTCAGTCTGATCTCAATAAAGAAAATCAGAAACCAACCCAAAAACCTGACAAATGCATTGAAGCAGATTCCTGTAAGAATTCATCTTTAGATGAATTAGAAGAAGGGGAAATACTAAGTGATAGTGAAAATTCTAAACCACAAATACATTTTGGAAAAAGTGCCAAATCTAGAGTGTCTACTAAAATTCAGAACTCAGAAACTAGCCCAGGAAATAGGAAAAATACTGTGTATTTGGAGAAAGACAATAGGAAAACATCTATAAAAATTCATCAGAACAAAAGCAAGTGGAATAAAAGACGAAATGGCTCAAGCCGATCTTCGAACACAGAGAAGAAAGAGAAGATAATGAGTACTTCTAGCCTTGAAAAAATAGTTTCGATTATTTCAGTACCCTCTTCTATACCAGAAGTTCTGCACATGCTACGGGTGATAAGAAAACATGTAAGGAAAAATTATATGAAATTCAAGGTGAAATTTTCATTGATACAATTTCATAGAATTATTGAATCAGCAATCTTGAGTTTTACGTCTCTAATTAAACACCTGGACTTATCCAAAATAACTAAGTCAGTGACAATTTTACAGAAGAATCTCTGTGATATTATAGAATCCAAGCTTAAACAAGTTAAAAAGAATGGCATAGTGGATCGTCTGTTTGAGCAGCAGCTACCAGATATGAAAAAGAAGCTGTGGAAATTTGTAGATGAACAACTTGATTACTTGTTTGCAAAGCTTAAGAAAATCTTACTGAAGTCTTGTGATTCCATGAACTTTGGCAGTGACAGTGATGAAGGAAAAGTTGAAAACATAAATAAAGGAAAAGTACCACATTCAAAATATCAGAAGGGGAATGTGCACAACTCCAACTCCAAGAAAGAAATGCTGAAAGAGAAATCCTCCAAATTAGAAGATCCTGTTTATTGTAAGTCTTTATTGGAAAGTAAAAAATCTGAAGAAAAACATCAAGACCAAAATAATTCCAATCTTAACACAGTAAAGCATGACACTAAAAAAACTTTTAACACTTGCTTTGATAATATTAAGAACTCTCATTCTGATGGACATACTTTAGAACTGAACTATTCAAGCATGCCAAAACCAGAAAAAATTGAAGGCAGCACCACAGAGGATGCACAGACTTCCCAGCATGCAGCTCTAAAGCCAGAACGCAGTTTTGAGATTCTTACTGAACAGCAAGCATCCAGCCTTACTTTTAATTTAGTGAGTGATGCACAAATGGGTGAAATATTTAAAAGTTTGTTGCAAGGTTCTGATCTTTTGGACAACAGTGTTAACTGTAATGAAAAAAATGAGTGGGAATTAAAGACTCCAGAGAAACAGCTGCTTGAGACCCTTAAGTGTGAATCTATGCCGACTTGTACAACAGAAGAGCTAGTTTCAGGGGTGGTTTCTCCATGTCCTAAAATGATTGGTGATGATAATTGGTCATTATTATCATCTGAGAAAGGTCCATCCCTGTCTTCAGGACTTTCTTTGCCTGTTCATCCTGATGTGTTAGATGAGAGCTGTATGTTTGAAGTGGCCTCTAACATGGCCTTAAGTAAAGACAATGCATGTAGTTCAGAAAAGAGTAAGCCCTGTATTTCTTCCATACTTCTTGAAGATCTAGCAGTCTCTTTAACAGTACCATCACCTCTGAAGTCAGATGGTCATCTCAGTTTCTTAAAGCCTGAAGTTTTGTCCAGTTCAACTCCTGAAGAAGTTATTAGTGCCCATTTTAGTGAAGATGCCTTACTTGAAGAAGAGGATGCATCTGAACAAGATATTCATTTGGCACTGGAGTCTGATAATTCAAGTAGTAAATCAAGTTGTTCTTCATCATGGACAAGCCGCTCGGTTACTCCAGGTTTTCAGTACCACCCTAACCTACCTATGCATGCTGTCATAATGGAAAAGTCCAATGATCATTTCATTGTGAAAATTCGGCGTGCAGCACCATCTCTCTCCCCCACTTGTAAACAGCATATGGTGACTGGTGAGTCATTGGCATCTTTGCCTAGAATGGGAAAAGAAGCTGATGAAGCAGTGGAGAAGGAATACATTTCATGTCAGGCAAGAGTTTTTAAATCTGTGGAGGAACTGAAAAATAGCAACAGTAATGTTGCTAGTAAGTCTGCTCATGAAGAACAGGACTCTATGATAGCAACACAGGTTCCTGATATTTATGAGTTTCTTAAAGATGCTTCAGGTAAAGAGGATCATAGTAATGAAGTGACTGATGAGTGTTTCAAGTTGCATCAGGTATGGGAAACAAAAGTACCTGGAAGCATTGAAGAATTACCTTCAATGGAAGAAGTTCCACATTCTGTCGAGGATCATCTTCCAAACACGTACATAGACCTCACTAAAGATACAGTCACTGAGACCAAAAACTTAGGGGACTTCATAGAAGTAACAGTTTTAAGTATTGATCAGTTGGGATGTTCTGGAGACAATTTGAATCAAAATGCTCAAATATTAGATAGTATGCAACCTGATGCTGTAGATGCTTTTATTGATTTGACACAAGATGTTTCAAGTGAGAGTAAAAATGAAGGCACCAGTCCTCCTCTAGCCACTCACAGCTTGGGGTGTCAGGTGATATGTGTAGATGAAGATAACTGTAAGGAAGAAAAGACGCAAGTGACAAATAAGCCTTTGGAATGCATTGTTAGGGAAACCTATATCGATTTAACCTCAGAATCTCCTAGTTCTTGTGAAATTAAAAAGGTTGATTTAAAATCAGAGCCAGCACCACATTCTGATAGCTCTGAGTTGCCTGGACCTTTGGATAATCCTCACAAAAAGAGAAAAAACCTTTCTGATGAAAGTCATTCTCAGAAAAAACAAAGAAAAGAAGCAAACTTAACCACTAAAGAAAAGACCAAGAAAGTCACCCATACTTTTGGTGAGAATGGTGAAGTTCACCGAAGGAAAACGAGTAAGAAGAAAGCCTGCATGGTGACTAAAGATCCCTCATCGTTAAAGGCAAGCCCAGTGGTTAAGGATCCATCAGCAACATCTGCTACTTCTACAAACCTCTCTGCAAAAAATGTTGTTAAAAAGAAGGGTGAAATTGTAGTTTCATGGACAAGGTAAGAACATTGGGAGGCATTTAAATCACAAATTTGGAGAGGCAGAAATTTGTCCATTACAGTTTTTACCTCATCTTAAAATAAGGGAAGTGCTACACATCACATTCTAAGGTACAGTCCAGCTGAACTGTAGAATAGGTTCAAGCAGTGGCCTTTTTGCAAGGGCTGTGCTTTTTAGTATTGTGGGCAGAATGACCTGTTTTAACTTCGCTTTTTTTAAAAAAAATAAGATTTAGTTATGCCTATAAGAACTGAGGTATAGGCCAGAGATGCAGGAGGTGAGAGGATTCACCAGAGGAAAAGTGGGGAGCAGAACAGGCTCCCCACTGAAGTAACTGCTGAGGGGAGCAGTGGGTGAAACTGCCCATGTGGGTCACCTCCCTGGTTGGGGATTGAACTCTGTGCTGCAGTGACTACAGATAGCTTTTTCAATTTAAAAAGTTATTTCATTTTTTTTTAAGATTTATTTACTTGTGCATACAGTACTGGGGTACAGGCC